ATGGAAGGCGTTATCTCCACTTACGAAATTACAGGTCCTTGAAGTAAGAATTTGGGGTAATAAATAATTGTGGGATTCCAAACATATGCAATATTCTTCCTCCTTTTTCTGTCCTGTAGGGCAGCACTTCTTAAACTGTGGGGTGTGTTTGTGACCAAACAACAGCAACAGTAAAAGGTTTCTGAATTCGAAACAACCAAAAATTAATTCAAAATCAAAAGTGTACATGCCCAAAGGGCTATAAAATGTGTATACCCTTTAATCCAGCAACAGCAATTCTAGGGCTGTAGACCAAAGAGATCATAAAAATAGGAAAATGACCCACATGTACAAAAGTATTTATAACAGCTCTCTCTGTGGTGGCAAAGAATTGGAAATTGAGGGGATGCTCATCAATTAGGAAATGGCTGAACAAGTTGTGTTATATGAATGTAATGGAATGCTATTGTGCTATAAGAAATAATTAGCAAGCAGACTGGAAAGACTTGTATGAACTGATGCTGAGTGAGAGAACATTGTATACAGTAACAGCCACATTGTGCGATGACTGATTTAGCTTTCAGATAGATAGACTTAGCTTTCCTCAGCAATGCAAGGATCTAAGACATTTCCAGAAGCCTCATGATGGAAAATGCTATCCACATCCAGAGAAAGAATTGTAGAGTTTGAATACAGATGGAAGCATACTATTCGCTCTTCTTTTTTTCTTCTGTTTTGTCTTGTTTTCTCTTTCTGGTGGTTCCTCCTATTGGTTCTAATTCTTCCTTACAACATGACTAATGTGAAAATATGCTTAATAGGAATGTATGTGTACAGCCTATATCAGATTGCATGCCATGTTGGGGAGGGAAGTGGAGAGGAAGATGGAGAAAAATTTAAAACTCAAAAGCTTATGGAAGTGATTGTTGAAAACTAAAAATAAATTAATTAATTTTTAAAAATCCAATGTGTAATGATTCCAAGGTGTTTCTGGCACCACTTGCCCGTGCTGCATTGCAACTCCACTGCAGCCTTGGTTCTGAATACAAAGCACACACATTTTGCACTGTGCATACCCTCAGGCCATGCAATGCCAACAAATGCTGCCCGGAAGGTATAAAGGGGTCATAAGTGGAAACAGTTTAAGAAGCTCTTCTCTACGGTACCACTTAGGTCTCTGAAACAGTCAGGGTCATGTAAATAAGGAAAACCAGGATGGTTTGTAATGAAAAAGTCTCCAGGCAGTTCCCAAACAGAAATCTCCTTGGATGTCTGCAACGATAGACTTTCTTCCACCACAACCCAAAAGAACAATAGTCTTTCCCTTCATTAATCTCCAGTAATTCTCCTTGATACAGTCATCACAATATGTGTCATTATCCAAAGCTCAAATAGTCAACTGCTTTTCCCATACTGGGAGCAAGGTTTGACATTTTAAAAAATGTACTCAAATAGGTAAAGAACAGGCTCTTTGATAAAACCACTCTGATCTAATTTAACTCATTGATTAGGCTCTTTAGGGTTCCCACTTGGATTTCCCTATATCTAGCTAGCTCACTCAGTTTATGCCAATTTACTCCTTTATAATCAGTTGAAGTCTGGGGACAAAAAAGATAATTAGGAGTCAGAAAGTAACTTCTTGTTAGTCTGGAAACCAGCAAGGTACAAAAGAAAGAGTACTGGTTTGGGAATTTGAAAACATAGGTTCAAGTCATGGCTTTTCTGATGATTACTTCTGTAACCTTAAACAAGTCACTTGATCTCATTGGGTCTCAGTTTCCTCATCTGTAAAATTAAGGGGAAAGATTGCAAAGTAGAAAAGCACTTATCTGTGCTCTTGCAACATTCTCCTCCAAACAACTTTAAAATAATGCCTCAAATTGAATTCTGGAGTGGCAGAGTCAACAAAAGGTCAGAGTGAAACATTTTTCCAGCTCACAACAACATAGGAGGTTGGAAAAAAGATATCTATGAGATGGGGGAGGAGGCTGGCCCACAATGCACATGCATGAAACACCAGTGATGAAACTAGGTGGTAATGATAGAAGCAGCAGCAGCTTCAGGAGCTCTTAAGCCAGAGGTAATAATACCACCTTAAAAGCATCAAAATATCCCAAGAACTAGCTCTGAAAATAGCAGTGCAGAAAAGCCTTAAGTTGGATACAGAGCCCCTTCTCTCCCTCCCTTCCTAATTTTGGGAACAGAGCCCAACATTAACATAAAGTTTCAAATCAAGTAATAGGGTAGAAAAGTGAACAAACAAGAAAAGAAAAGCCTGACCATAAAAATCTACTATATTGGCAGAGATCAAGATACAAACTCACAAGAAGACAATGAAATCAAAACAACTATGAGGAAAGCCTTGAAGGAAAAGATGTGAAATGTGGATAAGCCCAACAAGAACTCCTGGAATAAAAAAAATTATTTTCAAAATCAAATAAAATGGGAGAGGAAAAATTAGGTAAAGAAATGAAAGCAAAGGAATAAAATTTTGAAAAGACGATTAACACCTTGGTAAAAGAGGCACACATAATGCAGAAGAAAATAATACCTTAAAAACAGAATTGGCCAAATGGAAAAAGGGTACAAAAATTCACTGATGATTTAGACAAAAAAAGGATATTAGATATAAGTAAACTTGCGGAGCATGAGGAAATGTACCTGTCAGATCTATAGTTAAAGGGAAAAGTTTTTGACCAAACAAGAGATAGAAGAGATTTCAGAATATAAAATAGATAATTCTTTTCATATGAAATTAAAAAGCTGTTGCACAAACAAAACTAATGCAGCCAAAATTAAAAGGAAAACAGGAAACTGAGGTATGTGTGTATGAAATTTTGCAACAAGTTTCTCTCAAATATATAGAGAACTAAATCAAATTTATCAAAATAAGAGCCATTCTCCAGTTGATAAATGGTCAAAAGATATGAATAGGCAGCTTTCAGAAGAAGAAATCAAAATTACCAATTCTCACATGAAAAAACACTCTAAATCACTACTGATTAGAGATATGCAAATAAAAACAACTCTGAGATACCACCTCACACTTATCAAATTAGCTAGCATGATGAAAAGGAAAATGACAAATGATGACTGGGATGTGGAAAAACTGGGATACTGAAACACTATTGGTGGCATTCTGCAGATCAATTTGCAACTATATCCAAAAGGTTATAAACTGTGCATATCTTTTGACCCAGAAATACCACTAATGGGATTATCCCAAAAAGATTAAAGAAAATGGGAAAAGACCTATATGTACAAATATATAGATATATAGATATATGTGTGCATGTATATGTGTACGTATGCTCTTTTCATGGTGGCAAAGAATTGGAAATTGATGTGATGCTCATCAAATGGGGAATGGCTGAACAAATTGTGATATATGATTGTGATGGAACACTATTGTGCTAAAAAAAAATGACCAACAAGATGGTTTCAGAGAAACCTGAGAAGACTTGTATGAACTCATGCAAGGTGAAGTGAGCAGAACCAGGACAACGTTGTACACAGTAAAAACAATATTGTAAGGATGATCAGCTGTGAAAGTCTTAGCTACCCTGAGCAAGACTATGATCCAAGATAATTCCAAAGCACTCATGATGAAAAATGCTATCCACCTCCAGAGAGAGAACTGATGAACTCTGAATGCAGCTTGAAGCATACTTTTTTAAGACTTTCTTTATTTTTAGTTTTATTTTGTTTGTGTTTCTCTTCCAACATGATCAATATGAAAATATTGTTTGGCATGACCTCGCATGTGTAATCTAAATTAAAGCACTTGCCTTCTCAAGGAATGGGTAGGGGCAGAAGGGAAAGAGAAAACTTGGAACTCAAAATTTTAAAGAAATGATTATTATAAAAATGTTTACATGTAATTGAAAAATATTTAATGAAATAAAAATAATTTTTAGAAACATTTTGATAACTGCATTTCAAAAAATATAAAATAAGACACTTCACTGTTTAAAAAAAGAAAAAAACATGAGAAACATTTCAAAACAAAATTACTAAAAAGCATCAGATACCACATTTTTTATTGCTTGGTGTCCAATTTGGTATTAGCCTCCAAAATTCTCCATTCCCTATCTATCCTTCCTTGCCTTGTGTCTTGTATTTATAAAGCAGGAAGAAACTAAGAAACCGGACCAATGCTATAAATAAAAAAGCAGTGTTTGCAGAGCATATTTGAAAAGAGGCTGTAATTTTGATCCAAAGGAGACTAGCAGAGGAATCAGTTGTGTGCCTTTTGCTTATACAAGTTAGCACTATTTATACAGCCCAAGTTCTACTGTTCAATTTCACTAGTGTGTTATTAGGTAATGAAGGGCTTAGTCTATCCTGGTAGCATTTCCTTTAGGTTCTCATCTGAGTACATTTACATTGCAATAAAACAAAATGTTTCTGGGTTGATAGGGGGCAAGCTCTGCCATCAGGAATAAGGACTGTATAGCTTCATCTACAAAACTGAAAAACCTCCTTGTCATATGCCACTCATTAGAATGGCCAGTGCCCTTTACAAGTCCTTGCTTCCCTGTTTTGTGGTCTTAGTACATAGAGAACAGTGTGTAACCATGTGAGCCTTTTAACCCCTGTTCAATTGTGTATCAGCAAAGCTCTTGCTGGATTCAACTCTCTGGGTCTACAGACAACTTTCAACTATTTGGAAGTGTACAGAAGGGTTTGTTCACATCTGGTTAGGGTAGGTCGATAACTTATCAGTGTTCTGTACTATTTGACTAAAGCCAATTGGAGCTCTCTGGGAAACAAGCCAGTATCTACTCACCTTAGACACAGAGGCACTGACTGATCACATCTTAACCAAAGCTGGTGACACATAAGTTGCCATTCGTGACGGCCTTATTTACTGACCTTCTGCATTGTTAAAGTTACTCCCTTATCTAAATATCAAGGGGTCCATGAGCAGCAGTTTCCTCATCTGCAAAACTAAAGAGTTGGAGCAAATAGTCCTTTAAGTTCTGTGAGGCTATAATTCCATGATTCAGAATAGTGCTTACAGGTAAGAGAAGTCTGATTCCAAAGACATGCAGATTGCCAAAGTCCATCATGCTTGGGCTCACCTAGCAGCCTAAATATACCTGGAAGGAGAAGGAAAGGACAATAATTCTCTAAGAATACTTCAAGGTCAATGATTCTCTAGCTCTAAAAATAAATTTATATTAAACCTCTCCATTTAATGTATTTGAGCAGGTTCAAATGAATTAAACTTCAGCATGGGATGGTATGACAGGCAAAATTGGATAGAGGTATTAAAGTTGAAAATAAAAATCCAAAGGTCTTTCTTTGTATCTGATACATACTGGCTATACATAATGGCTTTTTATATGGCTTTTTTGTAATTTGACACATATCGACTGTTTGACAATGAACAAGGCAACATAACCTCTTAGTTCTCTAAGTAACTCTAAGACTAAGAATTACAAACAAGTTGTCAATCATTATTGGTGGAGGGAGTTTCAACACTGGGAGTTGCCCCACACTGATGAAATCAGTGGTCTGAATTGAAAAAGGCAGAGGATGGTATAGAACGGGGGTGGGGAACCTGAGGCCACATGTGGACTTGAGGCCAATGGTTCTCACCCTTGCTATAGAGGCTCCCAGACTATTTATTACTCCAGCCAACACTGATCTCCACCAGAAAACTCATAGCCCTTCATTCAATCAATAAGCATTTGTTAGTTATTGACACTTATAATCTATTCTAGACCATGTATTTGGAACCAGATTTTTGCCTGAGGATATTGTCTATATTGTTGTTATGTATTACTATTTAAAGTTCATTTTATGATTTAACTTAAAAAAAATGCATGGCTCACCAACTAAACTTTAAGCTAGCTTGAGAGCAGGGAACTTTGTTTTATGTATGCCTTTAGAGTACTTGGCCCAGGCTGGTCACAAAGTCTGTACTTAATAAATACTCATGCTCATTCATTGACGAAAACCCTTCCTGGTCCCCTGAGTTATTAGTGTTCTCTCCCTCTTCAAATAATCATGTATATGCTTATTCTGCTTTCATTTTATATTCATCGTTTTCACTCTCCAAATAGAAAATAAGCTCTTTGATGGCAGCAACAAGCCTGTGTCTTTGTACCCTCCTGAACTTTGCACATAGAAGCCAATTAACAGATAATTTTTGGATTGGGTTGGACAGGACTGAACTGGATTGGATTAGAAATAGGAAGCTCCACATAGGGGTGGAGAAGTAGTGACATCTGACCATCCCATGATGCGCTAATCACTAACACCCTAGATCTAACATTCCAGGCCTCTTACACAAATGCCATCAAAGGCTAGGCAACTCAGAGTTCAAGAACCACCAGATTTCGTATCCTTCAAATTTGTAGCCCCTTGCAGGAAAAAAATAATAATAAAGCTTCAAAAAAAAGGGGGGGGGTTGCAATCCCCATATCAGAGACTGAGAAAATAGATACCCTTTTTAAAATATAAAATAAACAGTTTTCTGAAGTGAGTCTGCAGTCCTGGGGAAATAAATGCATGGCTATTTAAATGATTACTGGTTTAAACTAAGATTAGATTAGTGTGATTTAGGAAGAAAGACTGGAAGAAGTTAGGACAGAAGCCCATAAAATAAATTTAATTTGGTCTCAGAAAGAATACAGTTTGGCTGCTTTAATAATTTACAAGTTCACTATACTGACAGAAATTTTTAAAAATAATTAAACTTTATTTTAAAATAATACTATAGATTAAAAGGTAGCAATTAAAATCTAACTATAGTATAGTAAGGAACTGTGATCTATGGTCAGAAAGGACCTGAGTTCTAATCCCACTTCAGAGATTTTCTGGTTGTGGGACTCTCATTTAACTTCTCTGTGCCTCAATTTCCTCATCTGCTAAATGGGTAAAATTAGATTCAATGGCCTCTAAAGTTCCTTCTAATGCTAAACCTAGGAGTCTATGAAATTTAAAACAGAAATGAAAAATTTGTACACAGGATTTATAATCATTGAGTGTGCTTAGTCAAGTCCTTAATTTTCCTTTATACCCATGATCACATGCAATAAAGTTGCTACAAAAAGATAGTAAAACAAACTTTAAAGTGGGTTAAATTCCAACTCCATATTATTAGAACTTTAAAATGTTAAAGCTTATAGAATCATAGAAAATCACTTTTAAAATTTGCAAATGATGAAAATTTAAATGGATTCATTATATGAAAACCGATAACCCTTGAAAATTTTAACATTAGGAAATTCAATATTTTGAGTATGAAACAATTTTTATTTATGTTCTACTTATTAAGAATTGTAACTGGCTGTTACCAAGAGGCAGTGCAGCACAGTATATAGTTTGTTGAACTTGGAGGCAGAAGACTTGGGTTTGAATTCTGTCTTAGATATGTAGCTATATGGCCATGGACATGCCATTTAACTTGTCTGAGTCTTAGGGCTGTTATATGTGAAATGGTATGAATAATACCTTTAGTGACTTCATAGGTTGTTGTAAGGAAAATGAGATAATGTAAGTACTGGGCACACTTTATATTTTAACTTAAATTTTAAAGCACTACTTCAGCTTTCAGTTAATACTCTATTTTATAATGCAATATAGATTTAGGAATTTAAATTTTTTGTATGAATCATAAGGTCATTTTGCAATATTTCTCCATTTCTATTCATTATTTTCTAAATCAAAAACATCCATTTTATTGACATACAATGCTAAAGATTTATGACACCAATATTTTTTAAGCTTAAAATTAACTTTTCCCTTTCTTAAACATAATATAAAATTACATACTTCAAAAAAGAATTAATTTATTGTGCATCAAGATACAAGAAAGGAATAAATAAAATTATGCAAGGTTATAAGGTACAAATAAAAGTATTTCCTTTTTCACTATAATTGCTGGTCTTTAGAAAATAACTTTTAAGTTGGAAATTGATAGTAACATAAAAGAAACTTTGCCACCCAATTCCAGTACCAAGATCAGTCATTCATGTTAACTTAAAAACTTTTATAAATTCCAATCTGCAGATGTTTAGCGGTTATAGGGCAGAAATGCTATTTACTTAATTGAGGTAAACATCTCTTTTTTGAGTTAATCATTTGGTTTGAACACTGACTTTTCTTCCTAACTTAAAATTATATTTACTAGCATTTCTGGGTGGTTATTTGAGATTTAGAGTGTAGTTCTGGATTGCACTTCTATTTTTATCTAAAAAAAAACTTTTTACCAAATAAGGAAGATTTAGTAAAAATTGAGTCCCCATGTAAAAGTGTTAAAAGGTAAAGAAGGTACAAATAAAACGGAAACAACAATAGGGAAAAAACACCAAATACACAAAAAAAACCCTTTGGATTTTTATTTTCAACTTTAATAAAGTACTGGTTTAAGGGGTCAGGAATGACTGGTGGTTTAAACAGCTTGAGATTCCTTATCAGGTTCCATTAATCCCCAACTCTGGTTTTTACCTTGCTGTATTCTAGGAAGCATATGAAAGGAAATACCTAATTATTTTTAAGTAAATAGAATGTCAATTCATGTTCTAGAAAGCAAAATTCACAAGATGCAGAGTTAAAATTTAGAAGAATTTATTTTTATTTACAGTCAAGGGTTCAGTTGCTTATGTGCTGATCTCACATATTTTAAATGTCTTGTTTAGAAAATAGAAAGGGGGATCTTGGAAGGAGCTTCACAGTTGTGCATGAGCTATATTTTCCTATCACAGCTGATTAAAGATTATGAAGAGTGGTGAATCAATCAACATATTTATATAAAATACTCAAAGCCTTTTGACTGTCGAGGAGGAAACAATTTAAAAATTGATTTATGAAGAATGCCGGTGAATATCACCCCAAAACAAAGATTTTTGCTGGTTTGGTTTTATTTTTTTTAACCCAAATGATATTCTGGGATATTTGAAACAATTTTTATTATCTGGGTAAATACAGAAGAGTGAATGTAATTCTGATTTCAAATTGAGTTAGCTTCATAACTTTGAACCTTATTTTCAAGAGCTAATTGAAAACTTAAAAAAAAATTCATTTCAACAAGAGCTAGGACTGTCAACTACATTAAAGTGGTGGTAATTGGATTTCAGAAAATAAACTAGAGAAATCATTCCATTTTGTATTACAAGGACACAACACAAATAAATGGGAAGGTCCAGCATAGTTCAAAATCCCAAAAGTAGCTTGAAAATATATCAGAATTCTTCAAAATAACAACTATATTAAAATGTGTTGCAGTGATATGTATGAATTTGTCTTTAGCAACAAAAAATCCGAAATAAAAGGGCATATCTCTTCTTAAATTATGTCACAAAAACTCAACTTGGCCAAGTTAAAATACTTAAGTAAATTAGTTTAAATTACTGATGGAAAACAAATTGCATTCACACATTTTGTGAAAAAGATATGAGTTGCATTTAGATCAAAACAAAACAAAACCCACCCCGGGGGGCCAAGCAATGTCACCCAGTTGACATTCCTTCACTAGAGGTAAAGGTCTTGATGACAGTTATTTTCCAGTTCTAGAGCTCGACAATCACATCTCTGAAAGATTTTCCATGAGAAGTGTTTGGAGAAGCAGTGGACGTGTCACTGATGTCTGAGATTCATTCCCTGGTCTCCTTTAAGGCAGGGGTGGGTTGTGAATGGGGCTGAAGAAAAGGTAATGCTGATAAGGGAATCTATACCAAATGTTGTCACATGCTAGAAATGATTAGATGCCCTTGTCATAGGGTTATTACAGAGAATCAGGGTGAAGGGGAGAAACAGGAGGTCAAGTGGAGGCACATGGCCAAAAAAAATCCTTTCTATGGTAAATAATGGAACGAGAATAAATTCTTAATTGTGCTCTTAAATCCTCCCTCATTTTGTTTTTTGGTCTTCTTCCGCACTCTCTAAGCACGGAAAAGTATGTGTTGGTAATAGTATTCCTTGATATTTACCAAGCCCTATGTTGAGTTTCAATAAATCTTGTTTGAGCAATATGTTAACTGGAATTCTCCTCTTTCTCTCCTTTCCTCTGCTATGGAAGCTGCACTTGGTACAGTGGGAAAAACACTAGAGTTGGCATCACAGAATCTGTGCCCAAATCCTAGCTCTACCA